ATTCCTTTTCATGAACAACAGAACTGTGGGAGTTTGTTCTTGCTACAAGCAGCGCTCATGATTGACCTTTAACCACTTGATCTGATCCTTTTTCTTTTCTAAAAGTAGCGATTAGTCCATAAGTTACAGCAAACGCCTGCCATTACGTTCAGTGCATTACAGTGTGAAGCAGTGGGAAGCTCTCCTTGACGGTATCTAGTGGAGCACCTGGAGTAAATTGTAGAAGAGGAGGAGGTTGTTCACCAGGAGGTAAATGAAGTTAAGTAAAGAAAAAAAAGAGAAGAGGCTGGGTAAGGAGCAGCCTGGAGAGCAGCAGCAGCAGCGTATGGTAATGGGGCCAGTTCGCGGGCCTTAAGAAGCATCGGGGCAGCAGCGAGCTTCATGCCGCTGTCACACTCGCTGCTTGTAATACGCGCGGCGCTAGCTAGCAGCTAACCACTTAAGCATATTTAACTATGAAAAACAAATCCCATTTGAACGTCAGCGCTCAAGTCGTGTCACTGCTGTTATGCAATCTCTGCTGAGAATTGGCGGGCCCAGAAAAAAAATAAAAAATCTCACAGCCATTACAGCAGCGACCGGAGAGGGAAAGCACAAATAAACTAATAACGAATTTGATTTGTTTGCCGAACAGAATTCCACACAGACAATAAAAAAAGCAATTAATACCAAGCAATCAGGTAGAAGTGGAGATCATAGCTGGGGAGTGATGCCGTTATGAGAGGGCGCTTATTGGAAAAAAAAAAAAAAGAAGTAAAAACTGTTTGATTCAGTGTGGTTTCGTCTTGATCAAGAAGGAATTTGTTCTAAGCTCTTTAAATCCATCTTGGCTGCTGTGTTTTTCAGAGTTTTCTTGCCTCTCTGCCTCTGAAATCACAACATGTTGATTGTTAACTCCGACGCTCTTCGTCGAACGACAAGGTTACAGATTTTCTTTTTGTTCCCCCTTCTGCCTTTCTCTATTCGTCGCCGCTCTTGCATTGTCGGGAGTTTTGATACGCGATCTAAGGTTACATTTCCCTCGACTGATCCGGCGCAGTTTGAAACGTCCCTAAATAGCTTCTCTTACAGACAGATGACACCTAGAGGGTGACTCTTGTCTGTCACCGCTAATTTGCAGCGGTGTTCGGTTTCTGCAGGAAAGGAGCCTCCGTCTTTCCCTAAAGACAACAAAGTAATTAAGCGGGAGTAACTTGAAGAGAAAAAGGAAATTAATCAAAGTCAGTGGTTATAAGTGTTGTAAATCACCGTTTGGATCGCTTAGTCAATTTCCAGTCTTCAAGCGTCCGTCGTGGTGTGTATCATGAGAGCGATCAATGTGCGCTTCCACTCACATGTTTTCAAAAGTGCTTGAATCGATATATGCAACATGTGCCTCTGTGACACATGCTGCATTTAAAGAGGTTAATTTTCCCAGAGAAAAACTACCACAAAAGATAACAGAAGATTAAATCCGGCCTATATGTGTGCGTGTTGACTCTGCGGGAGTCTTTTGTTTAATATTTGAAAGAAACACAGAATGTCTGCGAGCCTGACTGCTTTGAATTCCTTCATATTTTGATTTTTTTTCACCATGGTTCCTCAATGATGTGTTTGCTTTACAAAGATGAAGGCATTTTTGACTAAGAACTCAAGTAAAAAAGTCACAAATTGGTGCATAAAAAGATTACCAGAATGCAGGAAATGAGGTGTTTGTTGCTTAGAATGTCTTCGATGTTTAACGCGTCCCCCAGTTCTCATGAAACCTTCGCCCTCAACCCAACCGGACCCCAACAACCGCTTGGATCATTTCTACTTTTAACCTTTTCGAATGATCACAAGTGATTGACTTTAAATGACTCATTGTCTTCACCAGATGAGGCTAAAGTATTGATCAAACACTCACCTCGTGTTTAACCTCTTGTGGCTGTAAAAAATATCTTGATATTCCTGTAACAAGCTGAATTTATAGCCGTGTGTTAGGAGGTAATGGAGCCTGAGCATGTAGCTGCCATGGATACGCCGATGCTGCTGCGCACTCCTTTAGAAATATGTGCTTTCTCCTGAAGGTCTCGAGCGCAGGAGTGAAGAAGACGAAATTCTGAGGAAGAAATCCGTTTCTTTTCCTTTTTAGTAACACACATATAAGAAAGATCTCCACAGCAGGCCTTTTGCTCATCCTCATGGTGACTTCTCAGCAGTCGGCTGCTATTCAGTAATGGGGCAAGAAGGAGTGAAGGTTGCCTGGATGTATCTGCACTTCAACAAGTAGCCTTGGAGTTACTTGAATTGCCACAGGCTGTAGCCGTATGATGTACAATGCATCTGACTGGAGTTGCGCTTCTGCTTTTCACTGGTGGAATCTGATCCTGAACTACATTAACTCTTTGTGTCGAGCTTCAGTTTACCTGTTGGGAGAATTTAACGAGTAAAATCTAAACAGAAGCAGCATTTTAACCCTTTACAGGGCACTCCTTGAAGTACAGTCGTGACTCGATAATCCGACCCATAACAATCTGAAAACCTTGCTATCAGACAGGATTTAAGAAAAACGAACGGAACCCATAAAAAATAGCCTTAACATACCGACAGCCTCGGATTCTGACTCTGACATGACGTTTTATGACACAAATCAGGATAACGGTGTATTATCTGACTGAACAATCTGACAGATTGGCTACGGTCAGACTGCAGGACTTAATGCTCAATTCAGATTTTTTTGTGAAATATGATTTTTTTTGCGAGTTCGTTCACATTTCCAATTAAATGCAACTTGTATGTGATCTGCTGTGTGAACTTCATACATGTTTATACAGTGTTTTCTATATGCTAGAAGACACAAGTGAAATAAAGTCATAATACTTCCAGTTATCCATCCATCCATCCATCCATCCATCCATCCATCCATCTATCCATCCATCCATCCATCCATCCACCCATTTTCTACCGCTTATCCGCGGTTGGGTCGTGGAGGCAGTAGATGGAGCAGATCATTCCAGACTTCCCTCCCCCCCGATGACGCTTTCCAGCTCTTCCTGGGAGATCCCGAGGCGTACCCAGGCCAGCCGAGAGATATAATCCCTCCAGCAGGTTGTGGGTCTGCCCCGGGGTCTCCTCCCAGGTGGACGTGTTCGGAAAACCTCCAGAGGTAGCCTCACCGGAGGCATCCGAATCAGATGTCAGTACCACCTCAACTTTCCAGTTAGAGTCCCAAAAACATCGATTGAGGCTGCAGAAAGAACCAACAACCCCGTCGTCTTTTATCACGGAGCTCTCCATTCTTCTTCAATTTCTGGTTCTGGCTCAAACATGTGGAACTGAAAGATATTGAAAACTTGCCATTGTGAAGCTAGTTTTACAGTGTTTGAGAGGTGAGCTGGTGTGCTCGAGGTGGAGTGACTGTGGAGCAGTGGGTGGAGAAACATGCAGGGACTTCATGGATCTGTACATTCTGAAGGAGGCAGCAATACTCCAAGTTATTTGAAGGCAGGAAAGGACTATTTTTATGGAGAAAAACTTATAAGAATGTAACTTTGATGCACTGAGATGAGTTTTTCATAGAGAGATTCTAACAGGTTTCAAGTTTAATGGGAAAAAAAATGTATAAAAAGGAAAAAATATAGCTTGTAACACTCCTGTGAGTCCTGAACGACACCGACTAAACGCTGTCGCGTTGAGGTGTCCCGTCCAAAAACGTCCCCTGACAACCTGTTTTCGCCTCCTAACTTCAGGACCTGTTCTTTCTGAAATGTTAGTAATGAGGGAATCCTCCGTTCCAGATTTGACATCAACAGGCTTGTAAAAGACAACAATCAAACACTCCGAGTGGTACTTTCGGTTGCCGGTGCCACTTTGATGTCTGAACCGTAATCCCGATTCACAAAGCGAACTCACCTCCCGGTTTGTTTCGCTGTGATGTTGTCAGATTTACAGAACTCATCCGTACTGCGTGTTTTTTTTGTTTTTTTTCGCACAGAGAAAAAAAAAAAAAACTGTCTGGTTGAAGCGCTGGCTATCTTTTACTCTGTCAGCCCGGTGTGTTTGTGTGATGTTGTTCTCTCTCACGTTTACAGGTCTATCTGATTCCCTTAGCTTTAGCTGAGCAGATAACAGCTCTGTCTGAATGAGCCTGTCTGTTCTGTGTGCGCCAGCCAAATAGTGATATCTTACCTTTTTTTTCCCCCCCCTCGCTCAATTTCTATCTTTCCTACAGCACTTACTCTTGTCAGTGCAGCCGGTGGCCCGCTTTCTGTGCGGCGGAAAGAAATAAAAATGGCAGCTGGATATTTGAATTTATATCCGCCCGCGTGTTCTTTTCGTGCTGTAAACGCGGCTCGTATGTACTTTTATCACATCGGCGCATCAGATGAATCAGAAACGCGTCGTGTGTCCCTGTAATGTAAACTGCAAGGCCAGCGAAAGAGCTTGTAATATACCGCTTTAATGGGCCGAGCAGTAAAAGAAAACCAACATGTAGCAGCACACATGAAAGGATCCTGTTATCTTGATTAATACTTGTTAGCGGGAGGAAGCAACGGACAGCTCGGAGACTGAAAAAGCGACTGTTGGCGAGGAGTAGTTTGCTCAGTTCATCAAGTTCAAATGTTGCAGGGGGAGACAAAGCGGCGTCTCCTAACTGTAATCACTTCTCTTTCTTTATCTCCCCTGTTCCTTCTGTTTTTTAATCCCGGCCTCTTTTGATTTAGTTATTTTTACAGCAGGTTCCTGGCCATATTTTACCTGGCTTTTTAATAATATCTCAGCGCCGAGCGCTCAAACGCACACTCTTGCCTTTCTCTCCCCTTTATCTCCCTCCTTCATCCTCGCAGTTCTGTTAAATTAAATGCTGCCTTATCTGAATGAAATGTTGTAAATATTGGCTCGGCACAGGTGGGGGAACAGCAATTTGAAAACAGTTCAAAAGACAAAATTAAATGTTTCACTGGCAAATGAAGCGTATCACGATTAATGAAATGACAGACTTTCTCTAATGCTCGCCGTCATGTGTTCTCTCTCCCCAGGCATGTGGTCCTTCTCCGTCTCCGAGCTGGCCATCCCGGGCGCCGAGATCGGGCGCATCTCCGCCACCGACGCCGACTTGGGCGAGAACGCCAAGCTGGACTACACCATCCTGGAGGGGGAGACCGGCGACACGTTCAACATCACCGGAGTGAACCAGGAGGCGGTCATCACGCTCAACAAGGTGAGAGGGGAAGGAGGGATTGAAACAGTACAAGCGGAGGGAGGGGTTTGGTTGCGAGTGAGAAGCTGGAGGAGGGAGGGGACGCAAGTGAGTCAGTCTGCAACAGGTTAAAGGAGGAAGGATGCGGAACAGATGATGACGAGGAGGAGGAGGAGAGGCGATGACACAGGTAACGTGGGCAGGAAGAGTTTTGTTTTGTCTGCGATTCAGCGCTAACAGCAGTTTGTCTATAAGCCCATTAACCTGGAATTACCTGGAAAATATACAAAGCTACTGTATAAGCCTCTAAGATTTTACACGCTTCATCAGCCCTCTTTTCAGCCAGGCTTTTAAGAAACAGCTTATCTGCATTCATCTTACCTTTTCTCCTCATTTGACTCCCACCAGACGAGAGTGTTTGATGGGTTTCTGACAAACTGATTTCCTGCTTGACTCACTCGCTGCAAACCGGCCTCCTTTTTTTTTTTTTTTTTTTTTAAATATCAATATTTCCATCTGTTTGCAGCAAACATGTCGAAACACCCAAACTCAATCAAAGTGATGCAAATGTTGCCAGCGATCCCAGTTGAGTGCAATTTGAGGTGTTTCTGACCGCCGTCGAAGCGCCGGCTGTCCGTGCAGAGCGATTTACATGTACAGGAGGATCAATGAGGCTTTTCCATTCTGAGTTCAGCTGGCTAATAGATCCCTTTAGTGTAATACTCGATTATTTCAGTTTCAAACAGCCACTCCCGAAGCTGCCTGCCATACCCAATAATCGCATTCTTATGAAGACGTGTGCGCGCGGTGGGGGTGATGAGTGCTGACACCCACTCATTACTGGTGTGCCTTGTTAAACTGCATGCATGTCTGGTGTGGGAGGTGTGGGAGGTCCCACGCTCACATGTAATGCACACTTAATGGGGGAGGAGGGCCCCATGTGGGAGGCCACTCAGAGATATGACGCTTCCCTTTCAAGCGAGCTCTTCAGAAGCGCCTCTGTCACTTCAATAAAAAAATACACGCGTGTCTCGTTTAATGTTGTCGTCGAGCCATGGGATGTCACTCAGAGACGCCGTGTGTGTGTGTGTGTGTGGCGGGCTGTGTGTCGTATTCGCCGAGCGCCAGCGCGCTCACGATGTGGAGTATATTATGATAAATCCCATAGAGCTCTATTGTTGTCCAAAAACCATTAAAATCACATCAGTGAGCCACACCAATGCGCAAAGTGCCCTCATGAATACACACTGCAGTTCATTTTCCACACGGTGCCACACACACAATGTCCAAGAAACACCGAGGATGTGTTCCCGCTCGGACGCCACAAATCTGCTGCTGATAGATTGCTAGAAAAAACTACAACGCTCAGCTGTTTTAGGAAATTAGTTAGCCTGTTTACATTAAGAAAGTCTACTTCTAGGACTTGTTTTTAAAGATTTTTATGTCTTCTGTAGGGACTAATTGCCTCGAGGCCGAACAACCGCCGACAGAGTGCCGAACAGGGAGAATACTGAGAGACGGATCAACATATCGTAGCTTTTGGTGGTGTAATCTGCTGACACTAGAATTTGGAAATATGGAATTTGTCCAGCTTTGTTATTTAAATATTAAAATGTCCCAATGCAGGTAGCAGGAGATGAAAGAGTTTCCTTTAAAATTCAACAGGGGTAATAATTATTTTCATCATCTGTCTGTTATTTTTCAAAAAGAATAGTTTTGCTTGTAAAATGTCCACAAATAGTGAAAAATAAATGCCCTGTCACAATGACCCTCTGAACCCCAACATTTGGCAGCAGGTTAATTGTAGATGTTATCTAAAAAAAAAAAAAAAAAAGGCCCAAATTACACCATTTATCAGAGCCAGAAACTGTCAAAACAAAAACAACTGCCAGATTTTAAACTTTTCCTCCAGTAATCGTGCGTGACGTGCAGTTCCATTAGGAAAATTAGCATAATATAAGCTTAAAAGTCGTGACATTTCATCTGAATCACTTCATTCTTGTTGAAAAATGAGCCAAAAATAAACTGTCTGCACCACGTCCTGTAAAAACTGTGAAAAGACTCTGTGCTTCTCAGCCCAACTGAAAAGCCACGAACAGTTATCTGCAACCAACATGACCAAAATTCAGCATCATTTGGGCTGAACTGCAGGCTGTGTGTCCACAACGAAGAGGAGATGAGACATAAAATAAAGGCAGCATGGTTCAGAAATGGTAAACAGAGGAGCAAACTGTTAGCAAGTCTTTGAAAGATACATCCAACAAAGTGAAATGACCTTCTAGAGTTCACAGTAGTGTGAAAAGTGCCCTGGGTGTAGAGGTTGTTAAAATCTGTAGCACGAAGGGGACACTTAGAAAAAGATTACACAAGTTGATTCGAGGTTTAGTCCATTTCTAACCAAATATGAAGAAATTCCACCTGTTTTCCCCCCTTTTTCTATAATTTATAGCATTCTAACTGTGCTATACTGACATTTCTGAGTTCTCTCTACTTCTAGCCGTGGCTGTGCTGTTTCCACAGAGGTGCAGGACTTCATATTATAGTGAAAAATGAGCCCAAAGTGAGCAAAAATGTGACAGGAGCAAACAAAAACACCCAGAAACTGCTCGAGGTTCAGAAGGTTAACGTGGCAAACACAAAGATATTCATTTTCGAGAGGTGTAAATCAGAAAAATGCGGCGAATCCAGAAATTAACAGACTATCAAACCTGTTTATCGTTCGACTAATTTATTCTGCGCTACATGGAGTTAGTCATCCTATAAAAATGCAAGGTTATGCAATTATGGTGCACTCAGCTTTATATGGAAGAGATGAAGTCTGGCAGGTTTCAGCGTTTCAGGTAACTTGAAGTAAAAAGAAAAACAAAAGTGCATGAAGCTTCTGAAAATGTTGTCATCATGGAGGAACCTTGTTTTCAGGAAACAGAGACAAAAAAACAAAACAGAAATTAGGAAGAATCTGCCCAAAACGGAGCTATTTGTAGCATTCTGTGTGTTGCACTGGTGAACACCTGAGTGCACAAGTGTTTTGGTATGTTTGTGCAGTCATGTGGGCATGAACACCGGCTTGTGTGCGTGCAGGGAATGTGTGTGTGTGTGTGTGTGTGTGTGTGTGAATTTATCACCGTGTCAGTTCTCTGCCTTGGGTTTGTAGGATTCGTTAAAAACAATCCGCACCTGGAGGTGGTGTGTAGAGCAGGATTTCCAAGCCCAGTATGAGCTCCTTTGAAGAGAAGCAGAGGGGTAGGGAGAGGACTGGATACGGTAAGAGATGCAAGAAGAAAGAAATCGAAGGCAAGGACCCAGGAACGAAGGGAAGGAGTGTGGATGAAGAAGGAGAGAATGGATGGGAGAGGAGAGGGAGGAGTGTTAAAATGAGGTCCTGCGAGGCAATGACAGCAGAGAGTGCAGTATAACAAGGGAGTCAGAGGAAGAAGCAACCAGAGAGAGAGAGAGAGAGAGAGATGTGCAAAGAGAAGGGAGATGCAGAGACAGCAAGAGCTGTGAAATCACTGACAGCCGTACAGAGAAATTAGCACAGCCAGAGACAGAGAAGCACAGGCAGGTAGAAACACCCATCCAGAAAGGCAAGAAGAGAGAGAGAGAAATAGTCAAATGAATTTTAAAAACTTACAGATATGGAGGGAGGCAGCTTGGCAACAGGAAGACAGAAAAGCGGAGAGGGGAGGGGGATCAAAAGGAGAATCGATCAATTCAACAAGTGCTGGGCGACTGGCGGCCGACCGGCAAACAGGGCAGGAAAATTACATGTAAACAAATACTGTAAAAAAAAAAAAAAAACCTCCCACCCGCAATATTCCTCCCACCGGACTCAGCCACATAAAACAAGAGAAAGAAAAACAAAACGCACAATTACTATTTCAACATGGCCTCCTTCATGCTGTTTTGTGCTGCTTTAATCCCTCCACAAAGGCGGCAAGAGAGGCAGAGAAATAGATTAGAACGGGATTGCTGCTACGTGTGAAGAATTAAATAAAAACTGGAGAATCGCAGGTTACAGCGCACGCGGATGCCTTTTGAATCCTCGCTAGCAAAGCGGAACATATATCGAACAGTTGCCGATGCTGCAAGGCGCTGCTTCTTCAAGGCTTCGCAGGAGGTGTTGGGGTTTTGGGTGAAGGTGGGTGTGCTGCAGAAAAAGAAAAAAAAAAGTCTGACAACAAAAATCTGACTTGAATAGGTTAAAAAAGGGGATTTAGCCTTTCAGGGAATCGACGCACAACTAATGAAAAACATGTTAGATAGGCTACAACTAATAGAATTAAAACAAACAAAGCGTAAAATTAGCGCTAAGCTCCCCCTCAGTTTCCACTTCGTTAAACAAACCCACTAAAAAAATCAAAATCAAATTAAAAACATGCCCGCTTTCTGGGCTTTCCGTGGATGCATGCGTGCATATGTTAAGGTTAGTGATGACACGCAATGTCCGTTCTTCTGGAGTCGCTTTAGCCCTGTGAAGATTTTTTTTATTTTTTTTTTTTAGCAGGGGGAACCAGATGATCTGTGCGCCTCCGGAGAAGGAAGGATTTCCGAGCGGAACAATTTGTGTTGCCACAGAGTCGGCCTTGACCTTGCTGGTCATCTCGCTGCTGTGGGCTGAATCTCTTTAACCGCTGATCTACGACTCGCATTCCCTTGCACAAACACACACACAAAGACGGAGACCCACACCTACACGAGCACCAATAAACCACACAGAGAGAGAGATATATATATACAGAGGCACGCATCAATATAACACACTTGACCTCGCGGCTCCCTGTGTTTAAACTGCGAGGGAATGAGGAGGGTGGGGGGGGGAATAAATGACAAGACGCCGGTTTCCTCGTCTGGGGATGAAGGAGAAGGATGCTTACCTCGGAACGATGTGTCAGATGGGAGGTGGGTGGGAGCTGCGGGAGGGTTAACAGCAGATTAGGAAAGAAACAGCAGGAGAGCGACGCGAGGATTTGGGAGATAGTTAAAATATGGCTAAGAGAGAATATGTGATTAGAAAATGG